GAGGCGGTGGGAGAGGCGGATCCCGCGGCCGGGAGGGGCGGCGGGAACCGCAGGTCCTGTGAGTCCGGGTGGCGGGAGTGACCTCGGGACTGAACCGCAGTGTCCTTTTTTCTTTTTGCGGAAGTCCTTTGCCGAGCGAGCTGGAGGTCTGCTCTTCCAGTCACTCTAGACGATTCGCTGACCCACTGTGGTCAGGACACTTGGTTAATGACCAGAGTCCAGGACTGAGACCTTGTCACGTTAGCTCTTGGCAACTTGTCCCATCCAGTGTTCAAGTAATGGGCTCCTTGAGATTTCCTCCCCCCCCCTCCCGATTAATTAACTGGTTTGTTTGCTTCCAGAAACAAGTCAATTGGTTCGCCTCTGCTTTTGGCGAATTCTGCCCTTGCTGCTCACAGAACCAACGCTTTTGCAGCTCCTTCACTTGTACTCACAACACAGATGTCCTGTATACCCCTTTTAAAAATGTGCCACACTAGAAGGCACTAATCCTTAGAATCATGATAAGGGTATAATTTAGTATCCTTTATCTGTTTTCCAATAATATAACGTACATTTATTTAAAAATATTGAGCAGCTACTACGTGGAAAGCAGGTGTTGTGGTAAAGGGAAGAAGTTCCCAACCTTTAAAGAGTGAGAGAAAGGATGCTTCCCGAGGAACTGGTTACAAGTGCCAGAGAACCTTTAGCTGAATGAGAAAGAATCTCGGATATTGGGGAGTTTAGAGAGCCCTTGGAGGTGGGCACTGCTTCTACTTGACTAGAGAATGGGAGCACCAACCCAGAATAGGAACCCACTCTTCAATATTCCTGGCAACTGTTCTTATCCAAAGGAGCCCTGAGTAGTAGATACGGTACACCTGATCAGAAGATGCACTCTCTGCCCTGAGCTTGTTTTTGTTAAATATTAATTACCTCAAGCAAAATAGGGGTCTTTTCATTACAAGGCAGGTTTAAAACATTTGTCTCTGTTTTTACAGACAGTGGTGGGAATTCATATTCTTTCATTCAGCCATCGTGGCAGTAAAAACGAAAAAAAAAAAAATTCAAAATAGTGAAGCTGTCGGGGAAGCGATAGTTTGTTACATTATATTTGCATACCATTTCCTTTCACGCCTGGTCCTAGCCTCATTTCCTAACACTCTTACTCCATTCTCACTCAGGCAACTCCAGTGGTTCACAATCCTTGCTGCACATCAGAAATACAAGTGGAACTTTAAAAAAGAGAAACAATGCAGGGATTTCACCCCAGATGTACATTGAATCAAAATCTCTAGAAGTCAGGCCCGGGCATGTTTTGCTTTGCTGTTTTGTTTTGTTTTGTTTTCATCTCTACTGATGATTCAGATGTCTAATTAGGTTTGAAAGAAATAACTTCCCCATTCTCAGGCATCTGAAAGTTTGTTCTTTGGGTAGGCCACATGATTTCATCCTTTACATTTGCTGTTCCTTCTACTATTCTCCTTATATGCTTGTTTAACCGCTACTTGTTCAAGACTCTTCAAGCTCAACCATAACCTTCCCTGAATCCCCATGTCCCCACCAAGCATAACTAATAGCTTCTTCTTTAGGATTTTGTTCTTAGAAGTAGTCTGGACTCACAGCCAAGCAATAAATTGAAAAATTTATTTAAACATTGAACTATACACTTTATAAGGATGAACTTTCTGGTATGTAAATTATATCTAAATAAAGCTTTTTTAAAAGAAAAAAATAAGTTAAACCAGAGAATCATGAAAAAGTATAACATAAAAACCTTGAACTTTTTTTTTAACCTAAACCGACTGTGGGCTTGCCAATCTGTTGAGAAAGTCCACGGCCTTTTCTTTGCACATAACCTACTGACTGGAGTTCTGCATTGTATCTCTTGTGTAAACCATACCTCTAAACTGTCAGCTAAGATTTCCTAGTATTTCATTCCTTTAAGAAGAAAATAACTAAAAGGTACTTGTGAAGCAACGTGAGTACAGATTTATTCTTTATAATTTTTTATATTTATCTCACACGCCTTCATTGGGTCTTTCCAAAATATTAAATGTAGATTTTAAAGAAACAACAAACTTTATTTCTATGCTATTTTATTGGCTTACATAATATTTAACTAAGTTATGAAAACACAACATCAAGTACAACTGGCATAAACAGGTTTGGGAACAAACACAAGTAACTCACTGTAATGTACAATTCCACTGATAGGAGCAGAAATAGGCAGAATCACTAAAGAGTAGTTTGCTAGCCATGAGCATTCAGAATGATATGGGAATTAGCTGTTTATGATTTACAAAGGAAACAGAATGGGCTAATTGCTTAGGGGTTAAACGTAGATAGAGTAAGAGAACATCTACTGTACTTCTCCATTTTAATTATTTGACTATGTGCTTTCTCCCTCATACAGACTTACAGCATTTTGAGGGCAGAGATAGTGCCTAGCTGTTAAGGGGAACCACTGGGGAAATCCCAAGACATTATTACATCACCATGTAAATCTCATGAGAACAAGTGGAATTTTAAAAAATTGTGAACAGTTTTTAAGCCATTTATACTAAGGTTTAAGGGTCTTTCCAGAAAAGGCCATGTAAAAGATGCAGATTTCCTTGTTAAAAGTTTTTACTAGGGCTGGCCTGGTGGCGCACTGGAGAAGTGTGCCACTTGGGAGTGTGGCGGCGCTCCCGCTGAGGGTTCGGATCCCATGTGGAGACCGGTTCCCGCTCACTGACTGAGCGCGGTGTGGGCACGACACCGAGGGTTGCGATCCCGTTACCGGTCAGTAAAAAAGACAAAAAGGAAAAAAAAAAGTTTTTACTAGTTTCCTAGGGCTGCCATAATGAATTACCACTAACTGGGTGGCTTAAAATAAAAACTTATTATCTCAGAGGTATAGAAGCCAGATTATGAAATCTGGTTGACAGAACCTTTCACCCTTGCCTCTGCCACATAGTTCCAGGTGTTCCATGGCTAGAGGCTGCATGACTTGGGGCTCTGTGCTTTCATATTTTGGTCTTCTTCCCTGTGTGTCTGAGTCTAAAATCTCCCTCTGTCTTTTTTTTTAAGGATACCTGTATGGAAATAAATGAAGACCAACAAAATAAGAACGAGCGAAGGCTATTTATCCAGAGCTTGCAAGGGAGTCAGCCACCATCACTTGCATTTTGGCAGAGTCAAAGGCAGGCAGAGGAGTGGAGTGGGTATGCCCTGATTGGAGGCTGTTAACATGGGAAAGCTGCAGGCAGGCTAACTGGAAGTGGGGCATCCTATGTGATTGGTCAGAGGTGCATATTTGGC